TAGGGAAAACTCTAAAATCCAGGAGAGAAAAAGATGGAAGGAGAGAACAGAAAAGGAAAAAAAGCAACTTTCTCTTCTTATTCAGGAAAAATGCATAAGTGCATTTCCACCAAGAGAGTTTAGATTTTAACCCAAGCCCATCAATACTATTGCTGAATAAAACATTGGGGGAGGCGGTGGCATGAAGAATTCTGTTTATGCTTCTATTCTTAAGGCCATTTACTGGTTTAAGTAAGCGTGTTTGCCTTGCTTATAAGCGGCAGCAAATGAGAGTACATTTACATTTTCAGAAGTATCTTTGCATTTCATATAAGGGAGCCAGGACCTCCAAACACCTTCATGTGCCTAGTAGCATTCATCAAGTTCCTGCCTACCTAAAAAGTAATTTGCCTTGAAAATAAGCATTATCAAGGATATGATTTATGAGCTTTTAATTATTTTTTCCCTGATGTGGGGTAGCTGACTGAGATTATAAATGCTTTCCAATCATTTCTAGTGGGAGCTAAATGACAAAAATGAAACATAGTACTCAACACTCCATATGGATGGTCCAAATCAAAGATGGTTTGGGAGGCCACAAAGCAAAGAGAGAAGTCAAAACAGAGCTGGGGCAGAACTTACTGAAATTTGCATCTTAAGGGTGATTGATCCGTTAACTCAATATATTGCATTTGAAAAGGGCAAGAAGAATGGTTTCCTTGCTCCTCTAATGACATCTCTAAATGACATCTTGGTTCCAAGTTCGAGATGAGGTGTTCCTTTCACAGTTTAACTTCAAAGATTTAGAACTGGAAAGGCCCTTTAGATTACCTAGTACAGAGGTTGCATAGGCCAGCTGAGTCACATCCGACGAACAGCTGTGGCGTGTTTGGCCCAGACAGTGCTTTTATTTAATTACCAAAATCAGTTGTCAACATGTTCAATCATTCTATTTCACATGAAATCCTGTCTTGGGAGCTTGTCCTGAAAAGTTGGGGCCTTGGTGATACAGGGTCTGAATTCCAACAGGGAAACAATGGGCCGGAGCTGCAGAGAGGCTGGACTCCTTTAGGCAGATCTTGCGGACTCCAGATTACCACAGTACTCACTAACACTCCATCATTTCTCTAACACCGAGACTTCATTTTTACTTATCATCACACATGAAACTACTGTTTTTTCTCATCCTTGGCTTGCTTCACTCATTTATGATACCTGCCTGGCCCCTGTAAGTGTATGAGTTTACGACCCATGAGCTAGCCCAACCCATTTATTTTACAGATGAAGGACCTGAGGCTCAAGGCATCTTCAGGGATTTCACCAAGGCCATGTAACTAGTCAATGACAGAGGGCAAACTAGATTCCAGGTCTCCTGAATTCCAGGCCACTGTTTCTGTTGATGTCTCATATTTTCACTGATGGAGCGTAATCAATTCCTCCCCATTTAAACATATCGATAAATTTTTTTTTAAAGGGGGCAGTTCCATCCTTAGCTTCAGACTGTGTTTATTTCTAAGGATGAAATATCTTCGCATTGCAATTACAACATCAACACTCTGACCCATATTCCTCAGCTGACTGCAAGTTTCTGCCTCTCTTGCAATCAAGATAAATTTGGTCCATTCTTTCCTACTGAGCTCAGAAGTTTTGCAACATCTCTCTACCTTGAAAATCACATAGCATCCAGATGAGACTTCTGACACAGATGCCTGTATCCCTAGGATAAGGCACATTCTTTCTTTTTTTTTTTTAAACATCTTTATTGGAGTATAGTTGCTTTACAATGGTGTGTTAGTTTCTGCTTTATAACAAAGTGAATCAGCTATACATATACATATATCCCCATATCTCCTCCCTCTTGTGTCTCCCTTCCACCCTCCCTATCCCACCCCTCTAGGTGGTCACAAAGCACCGAGCTGATCTCCCTGAAGGCACATTCTTGTCCCTTCAAAACAATCTGAATGGAAAGACTCAATACTATTACATTGTGCTACAGCATCCAGATGGAGAGATAGGCTATCTTCCTTTGCCCCCTTCTAACCGTGTACCTTTATTGCAGAAAGATACAGAGATAAATAGGAGACCAATAAACTGACAGAGAAAAATAAACTACAATGGGTTCGGGTACCAGATGAGCACAAATGGCTTAAAATACTTTCCAGATGTCAAATAACTCCAGAAAATTTGAAAATATCAGTAGCAGCAGCCCAAGCAACTCAGGGTAAAGAAACTGAATGTGAGATGGGATGGAGGGGGTAAGGAACTTCCATCCAATTTAAAGAGCATCTAAAAGGCAGAGTCAAAATAACACACTCTGAAGCTATAGCCTGTGTTTACAAGGTGACCACATCAATTGGTCTCATACCAATTTCACAACCCGAATCCAGATAGCAAACATTGTCAAATGAAGTCTTATTAACGGTACCATACATGGTTTCGGAACACAGGTACATGCCATATGTTCACTGTGGTGGCACTTAAGACTGCAGATAAGACTTTTTGGATGGTAGGCAGGGAAACCAAGAGTGGGAGGGAATAGGAGAATCGATTCGATTCAAGGCACAGTAACAGTCTTAAAAATATTAAATTCATCTTTCTCTGCACAGTTGGGGGGTAGGGGAGGAGGGAAAAGATTTAAAAGTTGCTCACCTGATAACAGGTCCCAAGAGGATTAGATGCATAAACAATGATAGTGGCTTGTCTTTGGCCAGATCTCTGTGGACAAAAATGAGGGTCAACTGGACCATAATGGATGAAAACATAAAGAAGGAAAAGGTGTATGCCATCCAGTAGGTTTCACTATTCTTCCGATAGATTCTAACCATGTACAAGGCAGATGCTGCCTCCCCACAGTACAAAAACGTGGAGAAGAGGATGCCAAATGGAAAGGTAAATCGGGGGTTGGTCCCACGGATGACATCTTCCTCCAGAGAGGATATCGGCTCCACGCTTGGCTCCTCAGGAATTTCAAAAACTCGGTCCATTGTCGAGGTTCTGAGTGTTGTGGTCTGGTCTTCAGAGCACTCCCATCCCCACCTCCCAAGAGAACCCTGTAGCCACTGCAGTGCAAGTATTGGTGAGGAGAGCTGTCAAGTCCAATTCCAGAACGGAGATGTACTAGTTAGAGCAGGAGACCGCTCTCTTCTCCTCTCAAATTAGACTTGTTGGAGTCTGGGATGAAAAGCCCATATCTCCTCCCACTTTGAAACTAGACTCTTGATTGGCCCAGGGTTCTAATCGTCAACTACGTGCTGTGTAAGTTGGACAAGGCAAAAGCAAGCATCTTAGCGCCCAGTCCGGAGTCCAATTCCAGGCGCGTCAAGAGCCATGGGAACAGCTGTTTCCGTGGCGGCTCCGCCTTTCGCAGCCCCCCAGGCAGGACGGGTAGCCACTCTCGCGGGCACCGACACTCAGCAGATCCTCTTGAGGAGCCCTGACCACTGTGCTCTCTCAAATCAGCTGAGAACTGAGCCAGGGCAGAAGAGGGGGCGCAGCCTGAGCGTCCCTTCGGGGATCCAGTTCACTGCCCAGGTACCCTAGCTAATGCTAGGCCGCGGCTATTAGCTCGCCTACTCGCCGGCGGTCTCTCCGCACCCGCGCTCAGTCAAGAGTTCTCATGGCGGCTCCTCCAATTCCCCAAGCTCCGCCCCCAAGGCAGCCAGGCCAGGGACAGGAGCAGTCACAACCCCGGCCCCGAGCGCAGTCACCGGGGAGAGAAGCAGAGCACGCGCCCACTGCAGGATCAAGAGAAAGCTGGAGGGGCTTCTTTTCCACAGAGAAACTTTACTAGAGAAAAACACGACGTGCGGGGCGCCAACCCGGCCCGACGGATGTCGGCAAACTCTTGGGCGCCGTCTGCTGCCGGGGTCCTGCCTGGCTCGCAGTTCCAGCTGTGAGAGGTCGGTGGCTTCAGGAACGAAGGCACCGATGGCGGGGCTGCACGAAATGGGAGAGACAGCTGGGGCCAAACAAAACCAGCCTGCGACTTCCAGGGCGGGCAGATGAAGGATGCTTGCTGCATAGAGGCGCGACAAAAAGGGGCTTGGGCCAACCTTCAGAAGCACTTCTCATCACGACCCCCGGACCCTGGAGGGAGCCACAGCTTTCCTCTTCGCCAACAGCAGCAGACCCCCAGTTCTACCCCGCCCTCCCTAACTAGCTCGCTCCCACACTCACTCAAGCCAGGCGGTTAAGCAGGAGTGTCTCTCTCGGCCTCAGGGTTGAATTTCCCTAGGTCCTATTGCCCTACAGATTTTATCACGGTGGGGCTGGGGAGAGACCTGGGGGGCAATTGGGCCGTAGAGTTTCCTTTCCAAACGAGAGTGTATGTAGCAGAAGGAAGAAAGAGAAAGAGGAAATGTCAAAGAAAGACGCAAAGTCAGCCCACAGACCCATATTATATGCCTTGATTTCTCCACTTGCAAAATGAGGCCAGGATGGGAACTTAAGAATGAACTTTCAAGTCTTTGGCTGTAAGGTTCTGAAGAGGTGCCAAATTCTAAATAGACTGGAGAGGAGCCAGGAGAGCTGTTAGTAAAAACTGAGAGGGGTGTCTTAAAGAGCTCTGGAAATTGCCTAGATTCTTAAGAGCAATCTTCCCCCACCTTGCTGAGCTTTTGTTTTTGTGCCTTCATTTGCATAATTCTAAACCCCAGGGGAAAAGAGAAAACATCTGCCTACTGGTAATAATATAAACGTAGCCTGTGCCAATCTCCTTTTGCTGCAGGAAGTCAGTAAAAAAGATCTATGTGAGGAGTGGCCAAGTAGCAGCCACCAAAATGATGGCTTCAAGAAAGGCTTAGTCTTGCTGTTGTATTGGTTTTTAAGATTCCTGCAATTGCTGTCTCCTTTCCCCAGGGCTGATTCAAGAACAGATCAGTTTCAAAAGGTTGTTGCTTTTGAAGCAGATGTCCCATCTTGGTCTGTACCTGTGTTAGCAGCTGGGTTAGGAGGCTGACCCTTCCTCCTTTCTGTTTCACAAGGCGGGGCAATGCTATCTCAGAACACTTCATAGGGTTGATGGCTTGGGCCTTTCCAAAAGGCACAAAGTTCTCTGCCAACAGTATACGGTGCAGAACTTCTTGTGGGCTTCTTCAGGACCAATTCCTGAGATGGATCACAAGTAGGGTGAGAAACTCATCTGTTTGCTGTGTTGGGATGAGTTGGCCACCCTGACGTGGGAGACTGAAACTAGGAAGGCTGTAGAATCCCCATGTTTTTCTTTTAGCCTCTCCTCCTTCTTCCTTGTGCCCTTCTCATTCCCCAAATACACAAATCTACACTGCCTTCCTACTTTGTTCCAATATGACTCCTTCTGTCTGACATTTAAGGCTCTCTATAATCATCAGACTATTTTCCTCTCCAAGTTCATCGCCCACGCTACCCTGCCACACCCTTTGCTCCAGTCCAGCGGGTTTTCTCACTTAATCACACTTGCCTTGCTCTCTCAGTGCTGTGTTGAGGCCGTTTACAACCCCCTTCACTCTTTTCTGCATTAGCCCAAAGCCTAATCTTCTTTCAAGGGTCAGTTCAAGTATTACCTCCTCCAGGAAGCCTTCCCTCACCTCCCCAGCTCTCACTTTTCCCTCTGTCTTTGTGCTACTGGCATGTACTCTCTTGCTCTAGTCCTTCAGCTCCTTCTGTTTGCCCTGCCTCCTAAACAGAAGTGTAGACTCAGGGAGGGATGCTCAATGTTTATTGTGGTTCTTGTTGATGATAGCGATTAACAAATAGTGATGATGATGAAGCTTCCTCCCCTGTGTTTCCTCCAGGAAAACATACAAGACTCAGGCACACTCATCTCTAAAAGCTGTAGCCACTGTAGCTGGAGCATAAAGTCCTGTGGGGCACCTACTGCCTCAGTCAGCCATTCAGCTCACAGAGGATGTCAGCCCACATGATCTCTCCCTTCTCAGAGCTCCTACAGCACTTTTTTGGGTCAATCCCACAGCTTAGCACCAAATTACAAATTATTTCAAGTATATTAATCTTTATTTCACCACTAAATTACCATAAGCTCCTTGAAGGCAGAGACCCTACTGTTAATTTTTTTTTGGATTCCCCCAAGGTTGATATATACGCGTAAATCTCCTGCCATTTGATCCCCCTCACCCACTAGCTTCTCTATTTTCAGCCCTAGGACTCTCTGGCGCTTTAGGTCACTAAATCCTCTGGTCTCTTATTTCCTTGTTCCTTTTGCCCTGCTGGGAGAAACTGACTGAGAATTTGCCCTGTTTCTGTCCAACTCTCCTTCCTCTTTTAGAAAATCTGTAGACTCCAGCCCTTTACTCTTCTAAAGACTACAGACCTGGAAATGTTGATACTCATCAGACTGCTGAGGACCTGGGAACCCCTTCCCCATTAAGAGCACTGTTCTCCCAAGGACCGATCATCTGAGGTGATAACCCCGTGCTTCCCCTTGAATGCTAGGCCGTGTTCAGGGGTTTGTTTCTGCAAGAAAGGGAGACCCAAGATTTGACTCCCCACTCCCCCTACCTCCAGCCCCCGACTCAGC